GTGAACCTTCGGCCCAGTCTGAGGTCCTGAGGACTCTGGAAGAGGTTTTCTTCCAGGATATCTCTGTACTTGGCCGCATTCATCTTTCCTTCAATTGCAACCAGTCGTCCTGTCCCTGCAGCTGAAAAACACCCCCATAGCCTGATGCTGCCACCACCATGTTTCACTGTTGGGATTGTATTGGGCAGGTGATGAGCAGTGCCTGGTTTTCTCCCACACATACCGCTTTAGAATTAACGCCAAAAAGTTCAATCTTGGTCTCATCAGACCATAGAATCTTCTTTCTCATAGTCTGGGAGTCCTTCATGTGTTTTTTGGCAAACTATGCAGGCTTTCATATGTCTTGCACTGAGGAGAGGCTTCTGTCGGGCCACTCTGCCATAAAGCCCCGACTGGTGCAGGGCTGCAGTGATAGTTGACTTTGTGGAACTTTCTCCCATCTCCCTACTGCATCTCTGGAGCTCAGCCACAGTGATCTTTGGGTTCTTCTTTACCTCTCTCACCAAGGCTCTTCTCCCACGATTGCTCAGTTTGGCTGGACGGCCAGATCTAGGGAAGAGTTCTGGTCGTTCCAGAGTTCTTCCATTTAAGGATTATGGAGGCTACTGTGCTCTTAGGAACCTTGAGTGCTGCAGAAATTCTTTGTAACCTTGGCCAGATCTGTGCCTTGCCACAATTCTGTCTCTGAGCTCCTTGGGCAGTTCAAATTCAAAATATATATTGCGCTACAGTAAGCAAGGCATTTTTAATTACTTAATTTTAGTAAAACTGTAATAATATAAAGAACCCACCACCATATGCATAAAATCTGAGTTTGCTACTAGAACAGTGTGATCTATTGGTGAGTAGTACTCAATGTAAAGAGAAATTTTCTTTACAAGAAAACTCCACTGATAAAGATGAAGAAATGTATGGATTGCAAGTTTGTTGAATAATAAGCTAATAAATTATGCCAGCGTGGGGATTTAATAACTGCACAGCACTTCCACATCCACAGTGCTTACACGAGTATTCAGAGACTGAATTACCTCCACATTAACAGAGGGTACCAGACATCTCCACTTTCACTGTCAGTGTTCACTCTGACTCTGCACCCAGCAGATTAGTCTGTAGACATGATTATCTACAGGGTCCCAAAAAGTGCTATAGTAAGCCCAGTTCAAGCACCTAGTTTTGAACTTTTCAGAGGGAAAAGTTGGTTCCCAGCTGGAACCAAATAGCAGGTTTCTCTTGGGAACCATTCCAATCAGACAAACAAGAGCCTGTCATGGACCAGCCTGCAGTTCTAGGCGGAAACACTTCACTGCATTAAACATTTTGATTATATTTTGATAATTCTATATGTGATTTGGTAATATCATGATTATTTTAAAACTTATTGTCCAGCCCAAATGTGAATTAGTCCTGTTTTTTTTGCCTATGGTATTGAAAAAAAGTCAAAAAGCATTACATTTGATTTTAAAAAGTGGCAAATATTGTATGAGAAGTACAGTCTTCTATGAAGCTTTGTCTATAATGTTGACATTCAAGTTCAAATAATCATTCAACTGCTGCACAGCTTTTTGCATTTGCTTTTGTTTTTTGCTGTTCATTCTTCAGTGTACATGGTGTGAGGTCGGGACTCTACAAATGCGTATTGACTGGGTTATATCGCTGTCTCCATCTCTCCTATGCTTGTTTGTATCAAGAGCTGCTGATCTGTGTGTCTGTTTGACCGAGGGCGAGCTGAGCTACAAGCACACAGCTGACCGGATGAAGTGCGGCATCGGCTGCAGGCACTGACGCAAAATGTGGCTTCTTCATGCAGGGTTGAGCAGAGGTGTGTTTTTATTTCATATGTAACCGCAATGAAAAAATCTGAAAATAACTTTTTATTTATCTTTTTACTGCTTTGTTATGGCATTAAACAGCCCCTCTCATCATTCAACATCTACCTGGCTTGACCACCACCGTACTCTCTCACCACACCAGCAACAGCAACCAACAAATCCTACTCATTCTATGTAAACTCAACAAAAAAAGACTAAGGGGCTGATCACACAGAGATGTACCACCAAAATCATTGTTTTGCTATGGTACAGTGCACCTCGAGTGCGCTGCTGTCTTATACCGCACATTGCAGTTTTCTAGCCTTTTCAGATGAGCGTATAAGTACATCATATCAAGCAGAGAATGACTTTACTACTTTCCCCGTCCTACCTGTTTTAATGCCGTTTACTATGGTTATGTGATTGCCACCTAACTCATTTAATCTGATAAATGACTATTCAAATTTAGGATTTGTTTAAGGATTTAAAAATGTTTCCAGTGTGTTGATGATTCTGACATTGTAAGCTTCATTCAAAAACCTCAACAGAAGCTTCACATGTATCAAAAAAGAAAAGGAAAAAAGACAGCCGTAGTCGCACACACCTAGAGATGTAGATGTCCACTCTGTGGCAGTCTACCTTACAGAGTACACTGCCGATGGTAATTGTTACACCGGTCATATTTTCCTTTCTCTCTTATCTCTCCTCTCTATTGATTTTTTTTTCACTTAATTACACACACACACACACACACCCACACACAGTGTCCCCATATTTTCCTTATTAGTGCTTTCTCCTCTCATTCCTACACTGTACTCCCTCCATTTGAAATGGTGTCACTGCTCATCATTGAGCAGAAAAAACACAGTTCTATTCATGTTTGATCTATTTTTTACTGTTCATAGAAGAAGAAACATTCTGGGGAAAAACAAATGAAATCTCCCAGCAGTAATGAACAAAACAGCAGTGTGAGAATTGATTAGTGTCTCTTAACAGGGTTAACTGTATGTAATTGGACTATTTCTGGCATGGCAGATTAGACTAAATCCAGACTTTATCTCAGAGCTGTCTGCCTCAGAAGGAGCAAGGGCTGTGGTGTTTTGCTCCTCTGTAAGCCTCAAATGCCTGCAGGTATTTCGGGAGATAAACTCCCGGCCATGGCCCTGGCCTCTGTCCTGCTCCCACCGCCAGCAATAAGCTCCCTTCCTCTGTGAGCTTTGGGGTATTAAGTGCCAGGATCAGTTTTTATTATATCAGTCTGTTTCTGCCTACACGACAGTGGTCAGCTCTAAGATTTGCAGCGCTGCCACAGGAAGGATGCACGTTCACAAAGGCTACAGCCCTCCTGGCAGCGGTAATGGTTATTCTCTCTGACTTATGGTCCCACAGGAGCAAAATAGTGTTGATTTATTGTAGACTCATAGTTTATTGTCTGGCTCTCAATAATGCATATGTCATGGAGGTTTTGACCCTGAGCTTGGACAATAACAGACAAATCAGTTTGTACTCTGGGAACAGTTGGAAAAAGTTATGATTTTTATACATGGGTCATGTGCATTCCATTTGGCATTATGGGAAATTATTAGGGCCCGAGCACTGACCGTGCGAAGGCCCTATTGTATCTGTAGGAATTCTTATTTTTCCTCCCAAATGAACGCGTATTTGGAGGCCGCAACATGCTCGAAAACTCATGAAACGCGGCGCACATGTCAGTCGTGGTGAAATATTTAATATTTTCTAGGGGTCCACTATGGCATGGCAAAATGGCCCCTCAGGGGCTCATAAACTGTACCCTCCGGGGCCCATTTCACCAATATGCATAAAAATCGGCACATGCATAGATCTTATCCAGTCACCAGTTATTACCCAACAGGAAGTCGGCCATTTTGGATGTAGCGGCCATTACTGGCGATTTGCACAAGTTGTATTTTGACTTGAATCCAATTGAGAATATGTGGCGGGAGCTAAAGATCAGGGTGATGGCAAGGAGACCCTCTAACCTGAAAGAGTTGGAGCTCATCGCTAAAGATGAATGGGCAAAAATACCAGTGGAGACATGCAAAAAGCTGGTCAGCAATTATAGGAAGCGTTTGATTGCTGTAATAGCCAATAAAGGCTTTTCTATTGATTACTGAGAAGGGTATGAATAATTTTGGACATGCCACTTTTTGTTCAAATGTAAATAAAAGCTGAGAAATATTTTTTTCCACAATGATGCCTCTTGTACATCGTCTAATTATCTTCTGGGAGACGCCTGTGTCCTTTCCAATCGAGAAAAACGTGCTTGTTGAATAAAAGTAACTTTAAGTCAAAATTTGCCAGCGATATGAATAATTTCGGGCTTGCCTGTACACTGTAAAGACTTTGAGCTGCCTTTTATGTATGAAAGGTGGTGTATAGGGTGGCTGTAGCTCAGAGGTAGAGCGGGTCATCCACTAATCTTGTTGAAGTATCCTTGAGTCAATGCGGTAGTTTCTGTTCAATTGAGTTTGCCATCACTGTGTGAATGTATGTGAAAGGGCAAATGTGGCACATAGTGTAAAAGCGCTTTGAGTGGTTGGAAGACTAGAAGGGTCCATTTACCAAATCTTGTTATTATTCCACTAATGTTCAACATTTAACAAAATGTGTTGTCCAATGTGTTCTTTAATGTGATCTAGATATTGACCTAGATATTTGACTGAAAAAGTATTTTCTGATTGATATTTTGTGTGTGTGTGTGTGTGAGAGAGAGATAATTCTCTATCATTTCAATTTTATTTGTATAGCGCCAATTCTAGTGCTGTCAAACGATTAAAATATTTAATCACGATTAAGCGCATTAATGTCATAGTTAACTCACAATTAATCGTGCATTTTTATCTATTCTAAATGTTCCTTGATTTCTTTTTGTCCCGTTATTTTTTTCTCATTTTAATGCTCTTATCAACATGGAAAAGTGGATCGGCTTGCTTTGTGAAAATGTTGTTTTTATTGAAAAATCATCCATTGTCGCCTGGCGGTGAATTCGCATCAGCTGTGTGCTTGGCCATCAAGTGGTATTTCAGACTGGACGTGCTGCGATGATAGCTCAGTTCACAACGACAAAACGACAAAATTGAAAAAACGTAACGTCTACTACTCTTAAACAAGTGTGTGCGGCGTGCCTGTTGTTTTGTTTCCGGTCTAGCTAGATCCGGTGTGGTGTTGTAGTTTTTCTAACATTAGTAGTTGTTGCAACAGCATGTGAAAAAAAACTACAAAGTGTGCTAGGCCAAAAAGAACGTTAATCTTGCGATAAAAAAGTGACGCAGTTAAAATGGGTTTGCGTTAATGCCGTTAATAACAGTAGCAACAACTACACTAATAGTAGTGACTGATGACGATGAGCATGAAGATGATGACGACGACGACAACAACGATGGGGGACAATGAGCAGTGATTATAGTAATAATAGTATCTGTAGTAATAATAATAATAGTAGTAGTAATAATAATAACAATAATATCAGTGATATTAGCAATGGCAGTCAAGCAGGACCATGGTAGGAGGCTCCACCAGGATCCATGAGAACCTGCGAGACGAGAAAGCACAAGAACTCCGGGGAAGAAGTGAAGTTAGTAACATGCATTAATGGAACATGAATGAGTGTAGAAAGAGAGGGAGAGGAAGAGAGGTGATCAGTGCATCATGGGAAATCCCCGATAGTCTAGGCCTATAGCAGCATAACTAAGGGATGGTTCAGGACTCACCTGAGCGAGCCCTAACTATAAGCTTTATCAAAGAGGAACGTCTTTAAGTCTACTCTTAAATGTGGAGAGGGTGTCTGCCTCTGGAACTGGAAGCTGGTTCCACAAGAGAGGAGCTTGGTAGCTGAAGGCTCTGCCTCCTGTTCTACTTTTTGAGACTATAGGAACCACAAGTAGCCCAGCATTCAGAGAGCGTCTTAATGGACTTATTGGGGCAGCCTGATAATAAGGAGTTGTAGTAAAAGTTTAACATCAGAAAATTGCAGCTCATCCAGGATTTTATGTCCTTAAGACATGTTTGTAATTTAGATAATTGATTAATTTCATTTCAGCTTGATCGATAGATATAACTGTATCATCTGCATAGCAATGAAAGTTAATGGAGTGTCCTAATTAGGGGTGGGTAAAAATATCGATACGGCGATATATCGCGATACTTTGCCGCCCGATATAATATCGATTTTTCAACTCCAAAGATCGATTTTTTTTAAGAATAATGATTCATGTTTAGACGCGTTGTGAATACAGTACGACCTCCGTACCTCCACTCCGGTAGATGGCGCCGAAGAGCGACTCTGCTGTGCGGCGCATAGAAATACGTATATGAGAGAGTGGCTGAGGACTTTCCAAAATGGATTTCAAGATAATAACGCCTCCGCAATTTAAAGCTGACGTTTGGAAGCACTTTGGCTTCACAGTTAAGAAAGATAGCAAGAACAACAAGCTGGACAAAGAGAATGCCATTTGTAAGCTATGTCTCGTCGTTGTCAAATATTGTGGGAACACAACGAACTTGCGAGTTCACTTGGCTAGACACCACGCCGAGATATTAGCCGAGAAGCAGCCGCCAAAAGTGATTCAGCCAAACCAGACTACGCTGGACAACTTCATACCCTCTACCTCACCTCGTGCTCAGCGTATCACAGAGTCGATAGTGCATTTCATCTGTAAAGATTTGCGCCCTTATAGCGTCGTAGACAATGTTGGCTTCAGGTGGATGCTACATTGTTTGGAGCCGCGTTACAAAATACCCCAACGCGGCTACATGGTGAACACAGCTGTGCCCAGGATGTATGAGGAGGTGAAGAAAGTCGTGAAAACATCTCTTAGCGCTGCACAAAGAGTTGCCTTGACGTGTGACGGATGGACGTCCAGAGCCACCCAGTCGTATGTGACCATAACGTCCCACTACATATCCGACGACTGGGAAATGGTTACACATGTTTTGCAGACGAGGGCAATGCATGAGAGCCACACCGGCAGTAACATTGCTGATTTGCTGAAAAGGGCAATGGAGGAATGGGGCATACAGGACAAGGACCTAGCCATAGTCACAGACAACGCTAAAAACATGACCAGCGCAGCAGAGCTAGCCGGTATGCTGCATTTTAAATGCTTTGCGCACACCCTAAATTTGGCTTCTCAGCGTGCACTAAAGTTGCCAGCCGTCCAGCGCTTGCTGGGAAGAGTGAGGCGGATTACCAACTTTTTCAGACGCAGTGCCATTGCCAGTCATGTCTTGAAAGAAAAACAGAAGTTGCTGAATCTGGAACAGCACAAACTCAAGACCGATGTGGTCACCAGATGGAATAGCGCACATGACATGCTCCAGCGCTTCCTGGAGCAGCAGCCGGCAGTCACTGCTGCCCTGCTGTCACATGAGGTGAGGAAGAATGAAAAAGATATCAGCACTGTCAGTGAGGCCGACATTACAGCTGCAGAGGAAATAGTCGCTGCTATGAAGCCCATGAAGATTGCCACTGTGGTCATGGAAGAAGAGAAAACTCCCACACTGTCAGCAGTTGCACCAGTCCATGCCCACCTGATCCAAGAACTCCAGGAGAGCCCAGGTGACTCTAACATGATAAAAGAGATCAAAACTGCCATATGCCAGGACCTCAAGAAGAGGTACTTAGATGAGCAGAGGGAGACTCTTCATGTGTGTGCAGCTCTGGATCCCAGATTTAAGACCTTGCTGTTCTTGACTGAGGATGAACGCCAGACCGTCTATGATAGAGTCACCACAGAGGCTGCAAGGACCCAAGGGCCGTTTCAGGTGAGCTAGACTATTAGACTGCTTTCAAATATTCTTTCAATATTTTTCATAGACAGTCAATACAAATATTGCATAAATATTTTAAAAAGCATAAATACTAAAAAGTTAAAAATACATAAACACTGGTGATGGTGAATGTTAGTACAACATTTATATTACATGAACAACAGATTATGTCAGCATTTAATTGTAATTTATTTCATTTGAGCCTATTTAATTTACTTAATTTCATGTGATGCTGTTTTTCAGCATGGAGGAGCTGGAGAGGATGTGACAGGTGAGCCAGAGACTGATGGAGAAGAGGAGGAAGATGAGGATGCAGGGCTGGAGGTCCTAGGTGAGGAGGACAAAGGGAGCAGCCAAGGTCTTGAGGAAGAGGAGAGCTTTGCAGTACTGTCCACGTCTAAGAAGAGATCCAGGGATTCTTGTGGCCTTGCGGACCTTCTTGGTCAAACATACACCTCAGGTCAGTATAGGAAGGCCCCCTTAATGTCAATAGTTGGTTTTAGTTCTTATCCCTGCAGTTGAATATTTGAGCCTCACTGTGCTGAATGTTTGTTCAGAGTTTGACACTAAAAGAAGTGTAAAGTTTATTTCCTCTCATTTAAAAAAACAGATTCCTCAGAGCAAGTGTAATGTACATTACTCTGTGCTTAAAGTTTCATATTACACTTATGTTAGTTTGATATTTGTCCAATATTCAAGTTACACATGCACAAATCATCTTCTAAGGAGTGTGGATTTGATCTGTAACCAAACTGCACATACTTTTTGCACCATGAATCTCCAACATTAAACTGTAGCGAAAAAAGGACTTTGGGTGGTCTTAAAGAAATCGCTAATTTTTGTGATCACTGTTCCAGGGGCTGCAAAGAAGTTGAAGACGCCAGAGAACCAGGCACAAGAGGAGATGGGAAGATTCAAAGAGACTGCTCCGATGCCAATTACAAAAGGGGCCAATCAACTGAACTGGTGGAGGGAGCACGAGCGCGAGTATCCTCTCCTGTCAAAACTTGCAAAGAGGTATTTGTGCATCCCTGGAACAAGTGTCTCCTCTGAGAGAGTTTTCTCTACTGCGGGGGACATTATCACCGCACAGAGGAGTGCACTCACCCCAGAGCACCTTGATCAGATTCTCTTTCTAAACAAAAACCTAAAAACCAAAGAAGTCAGGTACAAGTTTTAGGCCTGAATGTTAAGGTTTACTATTTTATTTATTTTGTTTACAAGAAGACTATGTACACTTTATTTTCCTCATAATTTTCAGCTCAGTGTGTTCAGAGACAAGCATGTATGTAATATGTATGCACATAGGCATTTTATTTTCATATGACCTGTTCAATTCAGGTAAAAGTTTTAGGCCTATCAATGTATCAGAATGGTTTACTATTGTATATTTTGTTTACATATATACATTTACATTATTTTCATATGACCTCTTCAGTTCAGTGTTCAAACAGTGACAATAGGAGAAACATTTATTATTATTTTATTATTTATTATGTTTGTACATTGTCACTCAGGGTACTTTATCCTTTTTCATTTTATTTTCAGTATTTATTTCAGTGAATTTCATGGTAATTAATAAAATGGAGAGGCTGTTTTGAATGAAATAGTTTTGACTCAATTTGTCCTCTGATCAATATCATCTGATGTACATATACAGGTACTTGTGTTTTCATCTCTATATCGTGATATCGCGATATCGTGATACGTATCGTATCGTGACCAAAGTATCGTGATACGTATCGTATCGTGAGGTTCTTGCCAATACTCACCCCTAG